ACACAAGAAAGATTTGGTTAGGGAAGCTAAGCCTTCCACCTGGCACTTTTGAGGGGGCCCCATACCTCATAGCACTGGATGAAGAATTTTGGTTTTTTTTTTTAACTACCCTTTTACCTGCCCTGGTGTGGTAACCTAACTGCCCTCCGTGGTTCCACATCACCTCCTGTAGTCTACTTGCAACACAGCAGCCAGAAGGGTCCTGTTCAAACCTAAGTCAGATCACTCGTCCTTCTGCTCAAACTCCTCCAATGGCTCCCAAAACCACTCGGAATAAAAGCCCAAAGCCCTGCAGCGACCATGGGGCCCTCACGCTCTGTGCCCACACCCCCTCTCTGACCTCAACTCCTCTCATGCTCCTGACCACCCATTCACTCCAGCCATGCACACCAGCCTCCTGCAAGCCCCTCAGACTCCCTGAGCACACTGCGGCCTCAGGTCCTTTGTCCTGGGACTGCCCTCTGTCTGGATTGCTCCTCCCATAGCTTGTGACATAGATGATGTCCTATTTAGCTCACTACTTGAATAACGCCTCATGAAGACCTTCCCTGACTACTCGCTGCAAAATTATCACCCACCTCTTCCCCATCCTCCGGACTTGCTACTCCTTTTACCCACCTTGATATTTCTCCATAACTTTTCCACCACCTGACATGTTATATATGTGCTAGTTCATTCATTTATTGACTACATCCCCACCACACACACATACACCCCCCACACCTCCTTCATGTCAACCCCCACCACCTAGACCAGAACACATAGTGGGTGTTCAATAAATATCTATGGAATCAGTGAGTGCCCCTGATGATGCTGTTTCTCAAGCAGGACTATCCCCTCCCTCACTGCTCTGTCTTTAGGACTCTATTTTTCAAGCTCCCGCTCACTTGTGAACTTCTTACTATCCCTCCAACCTCAAACCTGTACTTTCCTCCAGAACAGCTGTTTGTTCCTACGTAAGTATTACCATATCTGGCCCTCTGGGCTGGAGATGGGCTTTGGAGGCATCAGTAAAGCGGTTTGCTGTTGGAAACAGGAGGAGGTGAATGCAGGAGGAAGCCCTGCCCTGAGTTCTGTTGGGGCAGCCAGGCTGAGTCGCTCTGGGAGGGGCCTCGAGGATGGCAGTTCCATCTGGATCCACTTGTTTACCAGGATTCCTGGGCCCTGGGAGCCTTTTCCTGGCCAAACTAAACCTTCCTGTGGTCTGGCTACATCAAGCACGGCCCATCAAGACCTGGAAGAGGGGGAGGAAGGGACAAGTCCACAGCCCCTTTCTTCTTTTCTTCCCCTACCCCAAACAAAGACACTCAGAGTCCCTGACCTACAGCATTCACTTGGCCACAAAAGTTGATCAAAGAAAGATCCTGGGGCTCCCCATCCCTCCCTGTAGCACTGCTGTAGGTCTGTGTCAAGCCATGAACACGGTTCTCTGTTCCACAGGATGGGGTTTGTTAAAGTTGTCAACAGTAAGGCCTACTTTAAGAGATACATGGCCAGGTGTGGTGGCTCATGCCTGTAATCCTAGCACTCTGGGAGGCCAGTTCAAGACCAGCCAGAGCAAGAGTGAGACCCCATCTCTACTGAAAACAGAAAGAAATTAGCTGGACAACTAAAAATATACAGAAAAAATTAACCGGGCATGATGGCGCATGCCTGCAGTCCCGCTACTCGGGAGGCTGAGGCAGAAGGATTGCTTGAGCCCAGGAGTTTGAGGTTGCTGTGAGCTAGGCTGATGCCACAGCACTCTAGCCCAGGCAACAGAGCAAGACTCTGACTCAAAAAAAAAAAAAAAAAAAAAGAGATACCAAGTAAAATGTAGAAGACAAGAGGGTTAAACTGATTAGGATGCTCAAAAATGCTTGGTAATCCAAGATAAAAATAAGTATAGCACAGCCAAATATAGGAGGAGAATTGTTTAACAAACAGATATCATTTGTCAGATTGTTTATGCACGCATAGAAGGGGATACGATAGTCAGTGCGGCATGTGCTCATGAATTCCCAAAGTATGGTGTGAAGATTGGCCGGCCAGGTTACGCTGCATCGTATTGTACTGGCCTGTACAACATGCTGGCTGCAGGTTTCCCAGCAGGTTTGGCAAGGACAAGATCTATGAAGGTCAAGTGGAGGTGACCAGAGAGGAATACAATGGGGAAAGCATTGATGATCAACTTGGTGCCTTTACCTGCGATTTGGACGCAGGCCTTGCCAGAACTGCCACTGGAAATAAAGTTTGCAGGCCCTGAAGGGAGCTGTAGAGCTTGTCTATCCACAGTAGCAAAAAAATTCCCTGCTTATGATTCGGAAAACAAAGAATCTGATGTAGAAGCACATCAGCCGTCAGAACATTGCAGATTCTACGCAGTACCTAATGCAAGAAGATGAAGGTGCTTGCAAGAAACTACTCTCTCAATACATAAAGAACCACATAACTCCAGACATGGTGGAGGAAAAGTACAAAGCTCACGCTGCTACATGAGGGAATCCAGTCTATGAGAAGAAGCCCAAGAAAGAAGTCAGAGAGAAGAGGTGGAACCATCCCAAGAAGCCCCCAGCCCAGAAGGAAGATCGGGCCACTCAGAAGAAGGCAAACTCCCTCAGCAGGCCGCTGAGAGCGAAACCAAACAACCATTTTCTATGAAGGTTATTCAGATAAAGACAATAAACTTATTGACCAAACAGCTTAAAAGAAAAAAGTTTGGTTCTAGGCCAGAGGCTCCTCCTGGTCTACACTACTCCAGTTTTCTCACCCACCCCATTCCACCCCTCAGCTCGCCTTCCCTGGCACATCCTTCCTGTCCACTGCTGGGATCCCTGGCAACCTCCACCTCTTCCACCCCGCGAGACCCCTGGGCCAGGGCCCCCTTAAAAGAGCCCCATTCCTCTTAAGGCGCTGGTGGGGGACCCCTGCTCAGGGTGCCCCTGGCAGCCGTCTCACTCAGTAGAACTTCAACCACCAGGTCTGACATTCCACAGTTAGCACTTTGTTTCTTGAGCTAAATAGGGGTAGCGAATTTGCCTGCCAACCCCAATCAATGGGTAGCTGTAGCAGCTGCCTGCAGCCCGATGCTGAGGACTCTGAGATCATGTATGGGTTCGTGGAAAGGAGGGGCAGGAGTGATTCGGAGGGCAGAGTGGGTGCTGGTGGAAGGAATGATGGCATGCAGACAATGCCTGTACCACCCCTGAGTTAGACGTCACCCTGCCCGGCCTGTCTTTCAGAATGCAAACCTGGGGAAGGAGAGGAGAAAGTGGGGATAGGAGTAGTCACACGCTGTGTCCTAAGAATTCTTCCCAACCCATCACTAGGTGCCACTGTGTCGGCCTAAAGGGGATAGAAATCAGAAAGGGGGAGCTCGAAGAAAGTCGGCGCTGCCATCCACAGCCAGGGAGCTGTCACCTGCACCAAGGATCTCCACTTCCACCGGGGGACTCTTTCAGCTTTGTCCCTGGGGTGGGGGTGGGGGTGGGAGTGGATGGAGAAGCCCTGGGGTCTCATCTGGCCTCTGACCTAGGGCAGGGACCCACGAGAGGATGAGGAAGATAAGGCTGACCGGACACCGAGACAGGTTGGCCGTACACTCCAGACTGTCCCACTCAAGCTGCCCACACCTCTCGCGTTCTGCAGCCGGTAGAGGAGCAGGAAAGGACATAAAGGTTGTTCCCAGGGAGCCAGAGTCACAGCCATTACTTCCTTCCTCTCCTTCCTCCTCACTCCAAAGGCTAAATCCACACCCCAGGGATTCAAGTGAGAAATCGCGGCAGTGGAACAAGTGTGGGATTCTGGCGTTGGATGAGCCAAGTTCAAATCTAGGCCTTCAAAAGGCTGAAAGCAACCCAAAGCACCATCAGAAGTGTGGTTAGATTCTGGGACATCTGAGCCATGGAACACTACGCAATCACAAGAAAGAATGAAGAAATTCTTTATGCTTTACTATGGAGTCAAGGCCAAGATACATTGTTAAGTGAAAAAAGCAAGATATAGCACAGTATGGAGTGGCTGACAAGTCACGTAAAATGGTGGGTAGCTGAGAATTTTATACCTATATATTCTTAGACAGAGAGAGGTGGTGGGGAGAGGAGGGAGGGGGAGGGAGAAATAGGCATAGAGAGGGATGTGTAGAGAGAGGAGAAGGCTTGAGAGAGAGAATGGGGGGGATGGAGAAAGGACAGAGAGAGGAGGGATAGAGAGAGAGGAGGATGGAGAGAGGAGGAGGAAGGGAGAGAGAGAGAAGGCTAGAGACACTGAGGGATGGGGGAATAGAAAGGAGAGGAAGAGAGGAAGAGAAGACAGAGTTGGAGATACGCATCTGAAAGAAGACACAAGAAACGGATACCTTTGTCTCCATACAAAACACCTGAGTGGCTGAGGTGGGGGCAGGGAGTTAGGGTGAAAGACACTTATCACTGTATACCCTTTTTTTAACCTTTTGAATTTTGATACCTATGACTACATTGTTTATACTAATTAGAACCTTGATTTAAAAAATGACAACAAAGGACTCTGGCTTGGCCATCTTCTTTCTGTGCGGGCACAGGCAGGTGGTCTCCTGGAGTCCTGGTCTGTAGCAGGGACTGTTATTATCTGCTCTGTTTTGAGAAGCCAGGAGGTCTCATAAGCCAATGTCCCAGCATCATGTCTGGCACATAGGATGAGATGCTGCTGCTGCTGCTGCTATCAGAACTGCCAGTGATGGATCTGAGTGATGTTGGAAGCATCCCATCCCCTCTCTGAGCTCAGTTTTCTCATCCATCACCCCAGGAGAATAAGGACCCACCTCACGGTGTTGGTGTGAGCATTCTCTGGGGCATGCTAATCCCCCTGAGACGAACCCTGAATTAATGACCATTGCTTCAGAGTCAATCCCTCCCTGGCCCTTGTGCCTGGATGATCTGGTCGCTCCCCACTTGCCCGCCCACCTCCGACCCAAGCCAGGGGTGACAAAGACAGAATGTGCTGAAAGTGGTTACTTTATTGACTGGAAAAGGGAGAAGCGTGATCAGCCCAGGAGGGAACACAGAGGCTAGAAAGAGGTGAGAGCAGCCGAGCCGGAGCCAGACACAGGGTCAGGCAGAAACGTCCCCTCCCCACTCTCCAGGCTGGTAGCCGCTGGAGCTGGAGGAAGAAAATCAAAATAATACCATCAGCAACATTATCCGTCACATTAGACAAGAGTCCCCGCAGCTTAAATCCTGGACCAACTCCCCTGCCCCCGCCCATCCTGCGTACCCACACAGCAAAGCCATGCCTTGTTGGGGCTCTGCTTGCATTTTCCTACAGGTTCTGGATTCATCTCCTCTGCTTCAGACCATCCCCAGGGCACACCTGGGCATCATGGTCCCTGCTGACCAATGTGGCTTTCCTGAGGGGCCATGGTCATTTATCTCCCTTAGAATCTCTTGACCAACAGGCAGGTCCACCATGCCTTCATTCCTTAGGTTAAGCTGAGATTAGCTGATCAAATAGATTTTACCTAGCCCCATTTTATAAGCCAGATAATTGTGGCTCTGGGAGGTGAAAAGGCTGGTTAAATGTCAGAGCTGAAATTTGAACCCGGATCTTCATGACTGCAGAACACACCCATGGGGTCAGCACTCATGAAGGCAAGAGACAGTTGGCACGGTTGCAGTGCTCTGGGCCCTAGGGAGACCATGTTCCCTCTGAGGCACCAAAGAGCATAGCCCCTCTCTGGGCTTCCGTTTTCTCACGTGAGCACTATTGGATCCCATCAGTGATCTTCGGGTTCCTTTGCTGAGAAATTGTTAAAGGTAGCACATGACAACAATGAGATTTCAACCCAAGAGCACTCCCTAGTTCCTGCTCTTTCTGTTCCCTCCCCGCTGCGCTGCACCAGACTACCTACCCTTCATCCATCTTTTAGGACCGGCTGAGGGTCACCTCTCTAGGAAGCCTTCCCCAACTGTCCCTGCGCCATCCTCCCCCTGCCCCTGCCTGGGTGACATTTCCTCCAGTTTTCCACAACACTCAGGGCTGACCACAGGTAGTGGGAGTGTCACCCATCCATCCGCCTCAGCCTCTGGACTGCTAGCTCTGGGCAGAGATGCGGTCCCCTTTCTGTCCCAGAGCTGGCACAGAGCCAGTGGCATGGTGCTGATTGCCCAATGGGCCGACTAAGCATTTGCTTCATTGTTTTGTTTTTCCTTTAGTTCCTTACACTTACTTTACGACTTAATATTGTTTTATTTTAAATTATATAGGAGGCCCCATAATCTTTTGCTTTCAGTGCCAGAGCCACTAGAGGCAGCCGTATTGAGCCCTGGCCTGCCACAAAGTAAGTGCTTGACATGCTTCAAACACATGTTGGGTGAACTGAACTCAAGTCAGCTGATCTCATGTTTGTCCTGCAAAGCCAAGCTCTTTGGTGAAGCTCTCCACTGGCCATGCAGAGAGCTTCCTGCAGCCCTAACCCCTCCAGCCACTGTCCCCTTCTCCAGGACATAACTGCTCCCTCAAAACCCAGCTACTTAACTCCCCCTTGCTTCCATCCTGGTCCAGGTCAGTCGCCTCCAAACAGGTTCCCTGCATCTGCCCCTGCCCTCTGCAGTCCATTTGTCACACAGCAGCAGGAGAGGTCCCTTTCCAACGGTGCAGCATCTCCGGGTCAAGACCAAAGTCTTTACGATGGTCCATATAATGACCTCATAAGGCTTCAAGTGAGCTGCCTGCTCCCTCTTACCTCGCACCCTCTCTCCTTAGTCCCCTGCCCTGACCCACCCGCTTCTGCCTCTGGCTGGTCCTACAGTGCCCAGGGGTGCTCCTGCCTCTGCACCTGCTGCTCCCCCCACCGTCCCCCGCACATCCCCACGGCTCCTTCCCTCATTTCCATCAAGTCTTATCCAAATGCCACCTTCTGGGTGGGGCCTTCACTGACTGTCCCATGCAAAAACTACGGCTCTGCTCCCTGCCCCCATCCTTTTTACCCCCTTCTCTGCTTCCTTTTCCTCCTGGCACTTACCTGCCTGCAACATACTACAAAATCTGCTTGCTTATTTGTTGTTTATCGCCCGCCAGAATACAGACCCCATCAGGGAGATATTTTCATCTAATCTGTTCACTCCTGGAACACCCTCAGCACCTAGACTGGTGCATGACACGTGATAGATGCTCAAAAGATATTTGTCGAGTGAATGAAAGTAAATAAATAGACAGGTGAGCAGCCATGTGTTCGCCCAGGTTTTCCTTTTCAACCTGCTGCAAGTACCATCCCACCTAGGCATGAATGCACCTCCTCTTCCCGCTTCACCCACCTCAGAAGTTGGGAGTGACACAGGACACCTTCCCGCAGCCATTGCGGCAGCATTTCATCTGGCCAGGACACTGGCTGTCCACCTGGCACTGGTCCTGGCAGAGGCCAAGTTGGGGGAAGCTAATGTCCACCTGGGGGCAGGAACCCTTCTTTTCTGGTAGAAAAAGGAGTAAGGGCAGGTAAGCAGAGGGATGCAGGGCGATGAACTGTGTATCCGCAGCATGACCCCCCACTGCTCCCCACTTGGCTTCACAAACAGCACGGCTGCCTGCCTGGGTCCTTCCCAGGGGGCCCGAGCTGTTCTCAGGGCCCAGGAAGGCTGCCTGCAAATCGCCCCTCCTGCTGCTGCGAGATGGTTTTGGAATCGTAGGACCTCAGTTTGAGCCCCAGCTCTGCCATTTTCTACCATTGTGGTCTAGGGCCAGAAATCCCCAGAGCTCCAGTGTCTTTACGTGTCAGTGGAATCAGTGCCACTCACATCACGGGGCTGTCGTGAAAGCAGTGGAGGCAAACGTATTATTTCTCCCTGAAAAATCAAACCAGTCTGTAATAATAATGAGGAATTGTGACAGCAAACACTTAATCAGCACCTACTACGTGTGGGCATTACGTTAAGCACTTGACACATATTAGCCCCTTTAATTCTCACAATAATTCTAAAAGAGGGGGAGGGGTCTGTTAATATTTGCTCATGTTAGAGATGAGGAAATTTAGGCACCGAGAAGTTAAGTAATTTGCCTAAGGTCATATAGGATTGAGGCAGGATTTGAGCCCCAGGAAATCCGGCTCACCATGCATCGTGCTGCTATGTAAACTGTACAGTGCGGTGCGCGTGCGAAGGGTTACACACATCTTCACTCACTGCCAGAGACCCACTCCCACTTACGATCACTCAGCACCATGGCCCTCTGCATGTACTCACTCATCCACGCACAAACCACACATCCTTCCACTAACACACACACACACACACACACACACACACACAAACGGCTAACACTGCCGAGATGTGCCGTTTACAATGCACTCTGTAAAAACTCATTATCTCCTTTAATCCTCACATCAAAGATCTCCTTCGTAGGGGATATTTCTAAACCTGTTCATATCAGAGTCGAGGAATATGGGGCATAGAGAGGTGAAGGGGTCACACAACACCACACTGCTGGTCAGAAGTAAAACCAAGACCTGAGTGTTCTAACTTCTAGCCTTCTAACTTCCATTTACACACGCGCGCGCACGCACACACTCACGCACTACACTACACTTCCTGAGTCAGGGACCGGGAGCCAGGCCCAGCCAAATATAAAACACAGGCACCAACTGGGTGATTGGCTGCAGGGGACAATGAAAGTGGCTGACAGAGTCCTCACTTCCTAGTACAAAGAAATCTGTTCTCTAGAAAAGAGCAGGAGCTGCCAATACTGGGCTACCCTGGGACAAAAGGGAATAAATAGGGAACAGTTTTGGAACAAAACATACCACTGTGTATAGAGTATCTACTCACTAATGAGACACTTCACATGTATTATTTCATTGAGCACTAGTGTCAATCCGATAAAGTGTGGGATGATCGTTCCCATTTTGTAAACAAGAGAGCAGAGGCTCAGAGAGGTAAAGCCACTTGCTCGGGATCACACAGCTAGAAAATGGCAGAACTAGGATTCAAACCTCCAGGCTCCCTCCCTGCTTCAGGAGGCCATCTGGCTTTGTCTCTCTTCCAGCCTCAGTCTGTCCACCTGAGACAAGGGAACAAGCTCTTCATCCATCTAACAGCAAAGACCCCTTCCTTTGCCCCACCACCTCTCTCATCTGTCTGCCTACTGTTTTCTCTCCCAACCTTCTGGTCCTCTACTCCGGTCCAGACCCAGAAGTTGCCCCTGCTGGGCCAGTCCTCCCTCCACTTCCCTCCTCCCTGCTCATCTGTGTCTGGGGTCTCTGAATTGCACGCCTTCCCAGCCTATGCTGGCATCTTCCGGGAAATAACAAAGAGGAGAAACCACAGGGGCTGTACTCCAGATAAAGACCAGTAGTTACGGTACCTGGTTCTGCCCAGGTCATATCCCTTCCTCTAATCCTCAGTTTTTCCTGGAAAATGAGAGGCTTAGAGTCTATGCTGCCGAAGGCCATTTCCTGCTCTGATCTGAGTCCCCACAACTTGTTGGAGACACTTGCACTCTAGCAAGTACAATACCTTCGACGAAGAACCCAAGCTCTCTGTCACTCAATCCTTAGCTTGGAAGAGATTGTTTTAAAGGTGAGGAAGGGGGATCAGGTGCCCAGGGAGGAGTCCTGACTTTCTCCAAACCACGCAGCCAGTAAGCGGGAAACGCAAGCCCCTCACTGTGACTCCTGCGGCCACGGGATGGCGGTGTGACCTCGGGCAAGAACCTTTCTCTCGCTGACCTCACTTCCACATCTTTAAGACGAGCTGGGCGCTCTCCTAACCTGTGCAGTCCCTTTCCGCCTGGAGGCAGCTGGGCGCTCTCCAAACCTTTGCAGTCCCTTTCCGCCTGGAAGGAGGAATCTGGGGAGTCTCGCCCTGCCGGGCGCTCCCAGTCCTTCCCCCTCGGGGCTGGGGGAGGCCCCAGGGAAGGGGCTCCGAGAGGGGTGAGCCCCAAGCTCGGACGCCAGCCCCGGGCTTCCCCGCAAACTCCAGCCGGCCCGGGGAGGAAACTGCGGCCCCTGGTCCCCGGGCGCAACAATGTCCCGGCTGTGCGTGCCCGGAAGCCCGTCATGCACCAGAGAACCGAATCCAGCTAGGGGTGGGGGGCCTCCCTCCCCCTCGGCTGCGCTTCAGCGACGCCTTTGTCTCCCCCAGGGCGGGCAAGGGAGAGCCCGGGCGGATCTGGTTTGATCCGCCTTGACTTTCCCAGGGGTCCCCTGGCCCTGGGGCGCCCCTCTTCCAGGAACGCGGCGCTCCCGCCTCCTCCCAGCGCGGCGCGGCCCCGCCCCGGCCCCGCGCGGGTCGCCGGGGGTTACCATTGGGCACAGAGCAGACGGTGGCGCAGCCCGCCGGGCAGCACTTGAGGTTGTCTGCACACTCGCTGTCGGAGTGGCACTCCTCGGTACAGTTGAGGTTCGCCTCGAGTTCGGGGCACACGCCCATTTTCTCTGCTCCTGTGCCTGGGAGGGGAGGTAAGGGACAGTCAGCGGTAGGGCGTTGCCCCAGTCCCAGAGGATGCCCACTTCCTGCTCCAAGGGCCCCAGATCTTAACTACAAGGAATTCCCAGTCTCTGACCCTAAGGTTCCCCTTAAGCTCCCCAGAGGGGCTCACCCCAGGCCAGGAGCCCCTGACACCTCAGAGTACAAGATTGCCCTAACCCTTGGCCTCAGAGTCCTCCAATCTCAGTCCCTAGGGGATCCCGCACCACTGAGCGTCTAGGTCTCCGGGACCTTCCGATGTCTAGGCAGAGCACGCTCCAGCCCCCCAACCCTCCCGCAGCCACAGAGTACCTGCCTTGAGCACAGAGCCCCTCCTCCAAATTTCAGCCTTCCGTGGTCTCCCCACCTCCAGCACCTTGGACCTCACACCCTAGGCTCCAAGGGTCACCACCTTTGGGCTTCAGGGGTCCCCAGATTTTAGTCTTCATGGATCTCCCCACTTCCGCCCCAGGAATCCCCACTTCCCCAGCCCCCAGAGAGGCTGCGCCTCTGCTTGGCTCGGTCCAGACAGTTCAGACGCTAGCGGCTCGGCCCCTCTGGGTGCCCGGCCTCTCCCCGCCCCACTCACCTGTGACTGGGGGGAGGTCGAGCAGCAGCAGGCCAAGGAGGAGGGCAGCGGTGAGCGCGCCGAGGCGACAGGCAGGCATGGTGCTGCGCCGGGGCAGGCGGGCTGCAGGTGTGAGCGGCCGCCCAGGTGGGGGATTTGACCGAGCGCGCGGGGGGCGGGGGACAGGGGGCAGGGGCGGGGCCGAGCGGGAGGCGCGCGGGGGGTAAAAGGCTCAGCAGGCACTGCGGTTGGGCTGCCACCTCATGCCATTTCATAATTCCCCGGGATCAGGTGTCACTCTTGGCCCCGGTGGGAACCAGGAACCGAAGCAGCTTCCAGGCCGGGAGCAGCTCGACCAGCCGCAGCCCGACCCTTGTCCACTCCTCTCTCCCTTCCTCCTGGGGCCTTAGGGGGCAGCAGGAGGCGCGGGCCCCGCCCCAAGGCTCCTGGGTTCCTATCCAAGACTCGGGGGTCTCCTCGGAATGTCCCGGTCGGGGGTTGAGGAGGAAAGAGGTGATAGAGCAGGGGATTAAGGGGCTGGATTTGGAGTCAGCCGGACCACAGTGGCCCCTTTAGGGACTGGCGATGGAGGGCTAACGTAGGGTACAGAGCGCACGGCCGGGGCTACGTAAACAGCAGTTGTTATTAATAAGTGACAAGAAACAGCGCTGTGAAGGCAAAACACCTCGAAGACTCAAGCCCTGTGAGATGTATGTTTCTCCCTCCCTCTCTTTGTCATAGCGACACTGGATGGGGCTCTGTGCCTCTGTGGCTCTCTGACTGCCCAAGGCTCTGTGCTCCTCGTCTCATGGACTCTCTCCAGCAAACCTATGACCTGAGATAAAGGATTATCATCATCTCTATATGACAAATGAGCTGGATGTTCAGAGGTTTGGGACTCCACTGCCACCCCAAGGTGCCATGCAAAGCTGTACGGACAAGGTTTTGAACCCAGATCTCTTTCCCTCCAAGCCCTTGTTTGTTCTATTCCATTGTAAATGTTTGTTGGGTGCCTATTAATGTGGCACAAAAAGGGCAAGACACCTGGTGAGGAGAAAGTAATCAAAAGGAGCCCTCTGGCACTGGTCTTGGGTGACAGGGTGTGGCTTTGACTCCCGCCTCCCCACTCGCCACCTCAGGAACCTTGAATGAATCATTTCCCTCCCTGAGCTGCCATTTTGTCCTCTAGAAAATGATGAGAACATGAATGCAACGTTCCTGCCACGGAACAATTGTGCATTCACGGAGAACGATGAGAGTAGGTCCACAGTGGTTGACATGGGAACCCCAAGCCTGGCACACGATGAGTGCTAGATAAATGGCTGTGAGTGCTCCATGCATGTCTACTGCGACTAAGGGGACTGATACACCAAGCTTTGGAAGCCAGGGTGGTAAGTGCCAAAACAGAGTTACCCAGGGAGTTAGACAAGAAGTACCTTCAAACATCCTTCCTGCTCCAGTGATCTGAGGTCCTGGGAGCCCCAGGAGGCTTTGCCACTGGAAGGTAGAGGGGGTCTGGGGCAGTGATCACTGTGATGACAGATGAGTAGGGTTTGGAAGTATGAGTACCTCCAGCCACTGTCCCCACAGATGGATGCTGGGAAAAGACGCTCAGAATGCCTCCTCCAACTTCCCCTGCCCAGCCCAGGGACTGGAGACATGCCGTTGTTGGGAGGGGCTGGGGCTGTTTGCTCTGGGCTCAGAGAACAGTCAACAGCAATGAGAGCAGGAGGCAGAGGAGGACACAGTCCTGAGCAGGCTCCTGAAACCCAGTCTAGAGGACACTTTGGTGATCAGCAGGTTTTAGCCTAACCCAGCTGGCTACTGGACATTCAGTCCCGGGCACTGCTGCCAGAAGCTTTCTTCCAGGACCTGTCCAGCTCCCGTGGCCAGGAAACTGCCCAGCCCTGCCCCTCCCAGTGCCGCTGGCCTCCCTGCCGATTGGCTGTCTCTTACAGGAATATGGATTCGCACCAGGCTGAGGGAGTGTGGTGGAGTGGAGTAGAAGGATGGAGAAGAAAGTTTTATCAGTCAGTGGCATCAGATGTTTAGCTTTTGTGGTGCCCGGCTCTGTGCTAGGCATAGTCATATATATGCTCTTTATTGAGGTACAAAGGACAGAAGCTTTAGAACCAAATGTATCCAGGTCCAAATCAAGGGTTGGCCACTTTCTGGCCATGAGACTTAGAGCAGCATTTGACTTTTTTGGATCTACATCTTCTTCCTTCATAAAATGGGTATCATCCTGTCTTGTAGAATTATTATAAGGATTAAAGCAAAAAGCATAAACCAGAGGTTGCAATACTATATGTGTCCGAACACATATATTATTAGCCCATAGAGTACATTTTAAAAATTTAAATTAGTTGCCAAGATTTAAAAGGGGGGAATTTCACATAAAAATAAATCTCTAGGTTCTCTTGCAAAAAGTAAAAGATCTGGCTACACCGTCTTGCATTACATAGCAACCATCAGCTAGAGCAGAGGGTCTCAAAACTGAGTATAAATCAGAATCAGATTGTGGGATCCCCACCCCTGGAGTTTTGATTCAGAGGTCTGGGGTGGGACACAAGAATATGCATTTCTAACAGGTTTCCCGCTGATGCTCAAACTGCTGCTCAAGGGACCACACTTTGGAAACCAGGAGCTAAGTAGAGCTGCTTTCTTTTTATGAAGGAAGTATTCCCTCCAGTTTCCCATAATCCCCATCATTCCTTATTGTCTCACATGCCGCTCCCCCCAACTAGTTCCATTCATAGTACTAGCCTGGCCCCAGAAGGGCATTTAAATTTGTGACCTCTGGGATGGGCACATAGTAAGTATTCATTGAGAGGTAGCTTGCTATTTAACAATCTTATGGATTAAGTATTATTACTCCCATTGAACAGATGAAGAAAGTGAGATTCTGTGAGGCAAAGTGATTTGCTGGGGGAAACACAGCTGGCAAATTGGAAGGAAAATACTTGCCAAATTATTCCTGTCGTCCCAGTTATTTCAATATTACACATGCACAAAAACACATGCACTTGGCTCACACAAATCTATCCAAGGTTAACATACATGATACATTCAAAAATTTGGACATGACTTCATGAGTCATGAAAGCGCCTTTTTCACAAATCAGCAACTGGGTGCAATGTGAGAACTGTGGGAAGGGTCTAGCTAAAAATAATACACAGGCCTAGCTAAAAATAATGATAATAATTAGTAACTGTCTCCCCGTTTGCATATCTGTAATTGTGACTCCGGAACCACGCAGCTAGTGGTCATAAAGATTCTTAACTTTCTCCATAGCT